ACATCAGTGATTTTTTTAATATTTAAAGTGTTGCTTTTGTTATAATATAATACATAATTTGATTGATTAAAACATTTTATTTACAGTTATCATTATTATTTATTCACTTTATTAATTACTGGATTATTTATTTACTTTAGGACTAACAATATGCACTAGCAAAATGAACTTATAGAGCCAAAAGGTTAAAAAAAAAAGAATAAAAATAATATAAAAAATATTAATTCATTAATTATTTTTTATAAAAATAAATAGAAAAACAAAAACAAAACAATGAATAAATTAAAAATAAATTAAAATAAAATAAAATAATATGCAAACAAATTGGAAAGAAAATTAATTAACTAAAAATTTTTTTTTTATTAAAAATTAATATAATTTGATTTAATTAATTTTCAATTTAGTTTACTTTTTTATTTGTTATTTATCATTTATTTATTTTATTTAATTTATTATATATTTTATTTTATATAATTCTTTATTTATTATTTTATTCTGTTTTTTATTTTTTATTTTATATTTATTTTATTTATTTATTCATTGTTTATTTATTTTTTTTTTCATTCATTTTTTTCTATTTATTTTATTTATTATTCATTTAAAATAATTTAAAAATAAAATTTTGTAAACTAAACCTCGTACACTTGTATTGGTCTAACATTTCTCTCTGTTTCTCTTAGTGCTCCTTTTTAAAGCCTGTATCCTGTATACTAAATTAAATAATATAAATAAATAAATAAATAAATAAACAAAATATTTTTTTACAAGATTGTTGCATATGTACAGTCTAACAAAAAACAACACATGAAATGAAATCAGCAAAATTTGAAAAAGTGACTTGTAATATTTAAATATTTAAAGTGTCGCTGTTATATTTATAGCATGAACTAATCTCACAGAATTATCATTATATTAGATTATTATTTATCGTTAGAGCTGAAAATATAATCAAAGTAATACCAAAATTGCAGTATGGCTTATTGTGATTATTCAAATTTAAGAGTTGCAGTTTAATTATTTACGGATTGATTTATAAAAAGTGTTTCTGACATCTCAGAGTGGCTTGATGCACAGACAAATGCTGTCTTATTATAAAAATGCACGTTTATAATGGTTATAACATTCAGTTTAAACAACTTACAAACAATGCTTTATATTAATAATGCTTTACACACACTGGCCACTTTATTAGGTACACCTTACTACGGGTTGGACCCCTTTTGCTTTCAGAACTGCTTTAATCCTTAGTGGCAGAGATTCAACAAGCTACTGGAATTATTCCTCAGAGATTTTGCTCCATATTGTTGCTGCAGATTTGTCGGCTGCACATCCATGATGCCAATCTCCCGTTCCACCACATCCCAAAGCTGCTCTATTAGATTGAGCTCTGCTGACTGTGGAGGCCATTTGAGTACAGGGAACTCATCGTCATGTTCAAGAAACCAGTCTCAGTTCAACTGAAGGAAACTATGTTTTAACTATGCTGAAAATGTTCTCATTAATTGCTTATTTTGGGGTTGAACTATCTTTTAATGCTGTGCAAGACAGCACAAGACAAGCACTTGAATTAGAGTTTTATTACATTAAAAAACAGAAGCTAATCTGTAATTTAACATGGCCACACACTGCTCGTATGTACTCTAATGTGATAAAATGATTAGCGAAGTATTCAGTGCTATTCTATATCATTCAGAGTTAGGTTATAAGAGCACATCGGGTGAGATTTATGTAATGTATATATACAGTTACCACATGAAATATATCACATTATTCATACCGTGATATAAGATTTTGGTCATACCGCCCACCGCGAGCAGATGGTAAACCACAGCAGCCCGAGCCTTCCTGATAGATGTCATGCATAAAAAATACACTCCTAGGTTTTAAGAGTCGAGTGAGAAGATGAAGCTCAGATCTCAATACAGACACACGGATAAATGCATGCATCTGATCATGTGTGTGTGTGTGTGAAGCGGAGGTGATGTTCTAATGCTGAGTCCAGCTGTTTATTGATCCGTCTGTCTGCACAGGTCTGGATCAGTCAAATCTATCACACACACACACACACACACCTCTACTGAGTACCAGTGTGAGACTAATGAAACCTGGACACACTCAACAGAAGACAGCTGTAACCACTAACTAGGCCCAGACAGAAGCTGAGGACAGTTTTTGCTATTTCTGTGCAGAATTTTGGATTTATGCAGAATGATTTTGAGAGCATCAAAACTAAAAACTTAATATATGAAATAAAAATAACACCTTTTTAACTTTTTAATTTAATATTTACAAAGTAAATCCAATTATGTCCACTTATTTAGTAAACAAAGCAAGTCTCTCATATACAGGGCCGGAGCAAGCTGAACTGCCGCTCTAGGCAAAGGACGGTCACGCCGCCCTCAAACCTAAAGTGAAACCGCCCTAGACGCGGATATAACTGAGGCACGGGTGGCGAGGGTAGTTTAGGGGACGCCACCCTCTCTATTCTGCTGCCCTAGACGCGGATATAACTGAGGGCGCGGGTGGTGAGGGTAGTTTCGGGGACGTCGCTCTCTCTATTCTGCCACCCAAGACGCGGATATAACTATGGGCGCGGGTAGTTTCGGGGACGCCGCTCTCTTTATTCTGCCACCCTAGACACGGATAAGGGCACGGGTGGCGAGGGTAGTTTCGGGGACGCCGCTCTCTCTATTCTGCCACCCAAGACGCGGATATAACTGTGGGCGCGGGTGGTGAGGGTAGTTTAGGGGACGCCACCCTCTATATTCTGCCACCCAAGACGCGGATATAACTGAGGCGCGGGTGGTGAGGGTAGTTTCGGGGACGTCGCTCTCTCTATTCTGCCACCCAAGACGCGGATATAACTGTGGGCGCGGGTAGTTTCGGGGACGCCGCTCTCTTTATTCTGCCACCCTAGACACGGATAAGGGCACGGGTGGCGAGGGTAGTTTCGGGGATGCCGCTCTCTCTATTCTGCCACCCAAGACGCGGATATAACTGTGGGCGTGGGTGCCGAGGGTAGTTTCGGGGACGTCGCTCTCTCTATTCTGCCACCCTAGACACGGATAAGGGCGCGGGTGGTGAGGGTAGTTTCGGGGACACCGCCCTCTCTATTCTGCCGCCCTAGGCAGCCGCCTAGGTCGCCTCTATGGAAGCGCCGGCCCTGCTCATATAATAACTCAACTAGAAGACAGAGAATATTAGTTTACACACTGTTTTGTAAATAAATCAAATGTATATTTTCATATTAGTCAATAATATAACTTAAAAACGTAATAAATATAAATGTGGGTGGCACGGTGGCCTCACAGCAAGAAGGTTGCTGTTTTGAGTCCCGGCTGGGTCAGTTGGTGTTTCTCTCAACTCAAAAATACGGCATTTACTCTGGCTTAGAACTGAAGGCTCAGCAAAAGGCTGTAAGACTTCCCTAATTTTAGGCAAACGTTATTTTTTTCTTAATGACATGCACAGGTTAATCGCTCAGCACAAAACTAGCAATGCGAGCTAACGGAATCATATGTAGTTTTGATTTCAGGTGCACTTTAAAGGGACTTTGACGATACACACTGAAGCGGTGTTTGAATGTCAGCCTCCGCGGGGGCTCTAATTGCACACCCACTCCAGCTAATAGGGCAGCGTGCAGAAGTTTACCACCGCATCGCCTTCAGGTTTCATTTCAAAGCGTCCGCAGCCGTTTGGCCCTCACAGGTACTAAGTCTCCTGCCTGTGTTTACCATTCTCTCAGAAAGCGCCGCTGCTAGCATAGGTGACTGACCTCAATTTCTCTCACTTTTCTCTCCTGCAGAGCCGCTGAATAACTGCTCATAAATAACGGCGCTTTGTTTGGCTGCGTCCGAGGCCGGCTGAAGAGAAGGCATTCGCTTCTGAATTTCTTTGTCCTAACCAGAAGTGCGGCGCAAGTTCTCCTTGATGGGTTTAAAACATGTAGGAAAGTGAACGCTGAAGAGATTATTCTATTTATCTTCAGACCTGAGGCTCGACTGGCCAGAAAAAAAAGAGCACAGAGCTTTAAATAGACGCAGCTGTGATGCTGGAAAAAGCCTTGGAAAGAGCAATGGGAAACTTAGGGTGCTTTCACACATAGATGTTTGGTTTGGAACCTGGTGCATCTGCCCTGTTAGCTCGGTTGGTTTGAGCATATGTGAAACCCACAATCATAAGCCACAGCCATATCACCCTGCAGCCCAAGACCGGTTACTCACTAAAGCTAAGCAGGGCTGAGCCTGGTTAGTACCTGGATGGGAGACCACTAGGGAACACTAGGTTGCTGTTGGAAGTGGTGTTAGTGAGGCCAGCAGGGGGCGCTCAACCTGAGGTCTAAGTGAGTCCTAATGCCCCAGTAAAAGTGAAGGGGACACTACACTGTCAGTGGGCGCCGTCTTTCGGATGAGACGTTAAACCGAGGTCCTGACTCTCTGTGGTCATTAAAAATCCCATGGCACTTCTCGTGAAAGAGTAGGGGTGTAACCCCGGTGTCCTGGCCAAAGTCCCTCTCGGCCCATACGATCATGGCCTCCCAATCATCCCCGTCCACTGAATTGGCTCTATCACTGTCTCTTCACTCCACCAACAGCTGGTGTGTGGTGAGCGCACTGGCGCCGTTGTCCTGTGGCAGCCGTCGCATCATCCAAGTGGATGCTGCACACTGGTGGTGGTGTGGAGAGACCCCCCTCATGATTGTGAAGCGCTTTGGGTGTATGGCCATACACAATAAATGCGCTATATAAATACACATTACATTACATTACATTTACATTACACAATCGCCCTCTCATTTGCACCAAAACAATTGATCTGAGATGTAAATGAGGTGGTCTGGGTTTGGTGGAAATAGAGCATGCTTTGTGTTTATGCTTGGCCTTTCTTTGGCTCTGTTAAAACCACCTCATCAACTGTGATATCTTTTATGAAATAGTCGCAATTTTGATCAGAAAAATCTACTTTTTTTTAACAAATCGTGAAGCTCTAGGAATTTGTACCTGTTTCTCACACTGGCCGTAGTCTGCACCCTGGTCGACCTGAAAGAAGGACAGTTCTCCGCGGTTTTTGGCCATCTCGATGAGACTCATGGCGGTGCGGACAGTGGAGTTTCGGGCATGCACAAACACCATCACCTGAAACACAAACAGACAATGGAGATCAGTTAGGTTACGATCACCGTATGGAAATCAGCTGAGATGGTGAGTTGCCGGACCACAACTGAACCTCAGAAATGATCCAACTCAAGCACTGTGCATAAAATGGTTGGTTAGTTGAATGACTGACTGACTGACTGGGTGGTTGGTTGAATGGTTGATTGATTGGTTGGTTGGTTGGTTGGTTGGTTGGTTGGTTGGTTGGTTGGTTGGTTGATTGATTGATTGGTTGGTTAGTTGGTTGGTTGGTTGATTGATTGGTTGGTTGGTTGGTTGGTTGAATGACTGACTGACTCACTGACTGGGTGGTTGATAGAATGGTTGATTGATTGGTTGATTGGTTGGTTGGTTGGTTGGTTGGTTGGTTGGTTGGTTGATTGATTGGTTGGTTGGTTGGTTGATTGATTGATTGGTTGGTTGGTTGGTTGGTTGATTGATTGATTGGTTGGTTGGTTGGTTGGTTGATTGATTGATTGGTTGGTTAGTTGGTTGGTTGGTTGATTGATTGGTTGGTTGGTTAGTTGGTTGGTTGATTGGTTGGTTGAATGACTGACTGACTCACTGACTGGGTGGTTGATAGAATGGTTGATTCATTGGTTGGTTGGTTGGTTGACTGACTGACTCACCGAATGATTGGTTGGTTGGTTGGTTGGTTGGTTGAATGACTGACTGACTCACTGACTGGTTGGTTGATAGATTGGCTGGTTGGCTGGTCTGTTGATTGGTTGGCTGTTTGGTTGAATGACTGACTGACTGGTTTGTTGATAGGTTGGTTGGTTGCTTGGTTGACTGACTGACTGACTCACTCACTGACTGACTGGTTGGTAGGTTAATAGATTGGCTAGTTGGTTGATTGGTTGACTGACTGACTGACTAGTTGGTTGACAGATCAGTTGTTAGATAAATTGGTTGGTTGGTTGATCAATGAATTGATTGACTTACAGGTTGATCAATTGCTTGCTGGATAAATTGAATGTGCATGTAATAAGTTCCCTAGCTAATAGGGAGAATTGGTACTTAATCTAAAGTGTTACCAAAATGCTCTTCAGACATTTCAAATGTGCTTTCTATGTTCATTAAATCCTTTTTATGTCAACAGATATAGTCACAAAATGAGACTTTCCAATTTTTGCCTTTTGTATAATACACAATTTAAAGATAGTCTTGTGGGAACAACACATTCACACACATAATTTTACCTGTGCTGCACCCCCCCTCCCCCATACCTTTACACTCATTTTTAAATGACCTTTTTTGACATAACAGTAGGGATTGTCCGCATTTGACCCAGTGTTAGGTTAAAACAACCCAGCACTTTATATAGTGTTTGTATTTTTGACTAAACAAAGGTATATGCATGCTTAGTTTAATAATCAATAAGACATTTGGGTTAGTCACAGAGTAAATATACTTACACAAAGTTTTTCCCCAATGCTTGAGTTTTTGCACATTGATTCACATTAAACAATATGTTTTCATGAGACCCTTTTTTTATTATTATTTGTATGTTAAATAGATAAATGGGAAATGGGTTACAGTGCTTGTTCTTCTACATGGTTCTAACTTCTGGATTATTCTCAGAGAAGGCACATGTGCAGAAGGGCAGAGCGGCGTCTATGTGCCATATTAGTCAAAGGACAAAAGAGGCTTGTAATATTCCTATTACACTCAGGCTGCCCTTGCAAAGCAGTCAATACCCCAGACAAAAACAATCAATAACAGAAAAACAAGACAGTTATGAGATGGCAAAAGACCATCTCTCTCTCTACTGTTCTGGCTGTCCTTAAACAGAAAGTACTGATGGTGTACAAGACACTTGGAGACGAGAGTAAAGCATTACAGTACACAATGCAGTGAATTTAACTCAAAAACAATGACGGAAATCATGGGGAAACCCAAATAATTTGCTAAAAATTACCAATTGAGATACCGTTGAAGTCAGAATTATTAGCCTTCCTGAATTATTACCCCTGTAAAAATTTCCCCCAATTTCTATTTAACTGAAATATTTTTTGAGCACATTTCTAAACATAATAGTTTAAATAACTAATTTCTAATAGCTGATTTATTTTATCTTAGCCATGATGATAGTAAATAATATTTAACTAGATATTCTTCAAGACACTTTTATACAGCTTAAAGTGACATTTAAAGGCTTCACTAGCTTAATAAGGTTAGAGTCGGGTAATTAGGCAGGCCATTGTATAACAGTGGTTTGTTCTGTAGACAATGCAAAACAAATATGGCTTTAGTGGGCTAGTAATATTGTACTTATAATGGCTTTTAAAAAAATTGAAAACTGCTTTTACTGTAGCCGAAACAAAACAAATAAGGCTTTCTCCAGAGGAAAAAAATATTATAGGAAATACTGTGAAAATTTCCTGAATCTGTTAAACATTATTTGGTAAATACATACATAATTAAATAAATAAATAAATAAATAAATAAATAAATAAAATCTGAGAAGGGTGAACAATTTTGACTTCAACAGCACATCAATTTTTGTTTGCAACAATTCACCAATAGTGTTTTTAATTCAAGTACTAATTAATTTAATTAATTCATAATTAATTCTCTCTAATTTATTAATCAATCTTATTAACATTTTCAGACACACATAGAGTGCATGCTGACCTACAGTAACCTAAACTAAATTTACCAGGCATTTGATCCTCAGATAACCAATTTTTGATACGCAAAAAAAAAAAAAAAAAATTTGGCAAGTTTGTATTCCAGCACGAATAAATGGTTACCCATGCAAGATTACATGTATTATTGTACTGTTTAACGTCCATGTGCGAACATAGGCGTCTATTAAACTATATAAACTATGCGTCTAATTTTATGCTTAAATGTAAACACAAACACCTACATTCCACAAACAAAACGAACATTGGTGCTGGTGATTGAATATTTACTCACCAAGACAAAGTGTTTGATGCGGTTATGCATTCACAATGGTGTGAACCATTATAGGGGTGGTCAAATTTATATGATCTATTAATTACATTTTTAAAACTATTATTTAAGATACAGATCAGTGCAAACTACTACCCGCTATTTACAGTTCACATGAACGGGAAGCTGCGACCCTTTTTGTTTTGAATTATGATGCAGTTTCCAGAGAAACAGAATAGTAAATGAGAAAGCGGTGGGCGTGGCTTTGTTTTTACTACTGCAAGCTGATTGGATGTAGTACATTAGGTGTTTCATTCATAAAAATGGGGAAAAAGGTTTGGGGAGAGTAGTTACAATCTAACAGACTCCTCCTCACCACCATTTCTGTTTGTTGATGGCTAAACTGACAGCTGGAGTGGGCGTGGTTTAGTATGTTAGCAGACAGAGTTAAACTGAAAACAAACAGGAAGTGCATTTTCAGATTTCAATATAAGATTACAAGGCGAAATTATTAATTTTTTTTCCTAATTACAGGCACAGATTAATCGTTCACCACAAAACTAGCAATGCGAGCTAATAAAATCAATACGGTAAATTTTGATTTCAGGTGTACTTTAACGTGCTGACCCCCATATTTCAAGTGTTAATTAGGAGCCCAAAACCCCCATATAATTCAAACCCTGGATAAATTCGTGAGTGCAAACTCTGTATTTTACTGAGACTAAAGCTCACAGTCATTCACCATCCATGACACTCGATGCCAGTTGGGATTTTAATAGGGGTCTTAAAAGCACACATCGATGATATGCGGCCTTGAACAGACAAAACGAGTATAAACCTGTGTGTTATGACATCCACATGATGGAAAACTAAAAAAAACACAGCTGCCACAAGCAGAGCCTTGCACTTGAGGACATTTAATAAAATTATAATGGTATCTTTAAGAATGCATTTGGATCTCTTTGACAACCTTGCAAACTTGAGATGCAATGATGATGAAAAAACTCACTCAATGCAGCATACAAGTATCTTCTACTGCATTAATGCGCAGGTGGTTAAGGGTTTTATTTGATTTCCTTCTTCATTTCTCTTAAGAATTTGCTTTAGCTTTCCACTGCTCATCCTCATAAAGACTTTAAGAACTTTAAGGCAATTTTAGTAGTCTCTTGTACACAAATAACGCATAAAAATAATAATGAATACAGCTGCAAGCAGCAATTATGGGTTCAAGCGGTGTTAAATCAGGTTTTTTTTTTGCACAAATTTAACAAGTATCCTTCAGTAAATCTGTAACAAATAATTCTATTTCAGATCAATCGACATGGAAAAAGTACATTTTACTCCTTTTTAGCCATTGTAGTATCAGTGGCACTTTCATTGCTGTATGTATATTTTTGACTCTTATAAAGCATAAAAATAGAGATTAGTAAATATTTAGCAGATATTAGCAGATATTTAGCAGATACTAGCAGATATTTAGCAGATATTAGCAGATATTTAGCAGATACTAGCATATATTAGCAGATATTTAACAGATATTAGCAGATATTCACAGATATTTAGCAGATGTTGCCAGATATTAGCAGATACTTAGCAGATACTAGCAGATATTAGCAGATATTTAGCAGATATTAGCAGATATTAGCAGATATTTAGCAGATATTAGCAGATATTAGAAGATATTTAGCAGATACTAGCAGATATTAGCAGATATTTAACATATATTAGCAGATATTTAGCAGATGTTAGCAGATATTGACAGATATTTAGAAGATACTAGCAGATAGTAGCAGATATTTAGCAGATATTAGCCGATATTATCAGATAATAGCAGATATTTAGCAGATATTAGCAGATATTAGCCAATATTATCAGATATTAGCAGATATTTAGCAGATACTAGCAGATATTTAGCAGATATTAGCAGATATTTAGCAGATACTAGCATATATTAGCAGATATTTAACAGATATTAGCAGATATTCACAGATATTTAGCAGATGTTACCAGATATTAGCAGATACTTAGCAGATATTAGCAGATATTAGCAGATATTTAGCAGATATTAGCAGATATTAGCA